TATCTTCGGTCTCCGTCGCTGGAGAAGGGACTGGGTGGAGCTTTCCAGATTCGCTGCCGCCAATCGCCACGCGTGGGGGCGTACCGTTCGTGAAATCTTTGAGGCCGGCTAGATCAGGCATGATCACAGCCGTAACAAGCAAGCAAGCAAGCTCCTCCGCAGCGGTTTCATTTCTCTCCGGCCTATGCAGTGACAGTATCATGGGGATACCTCAGGCCACCCAAGAAAGACGACTGAAGTGATTTGGGCACGTTCTCCGTCATCCGCCTCACGAGCTTTGATACGCTGCCCTCGATCCGGCGCCGAAGAGGCGGACAACTCAAGACATGGGAACGTTTCTTGGACCTTCGCTGAGGAAGAAAATGGCTGTAACTTTCCAAATCCGCTGCCGCCAATCTTCGCGCATGGAGAGGTACCGTCCGTGACGCTGACGATATCAGGCATGATCATAGCCGTATCAAATACAAGTATATCCAGAAAGAACTTGGGTTCGAACTTCAAATACCGCCACACCTGCGGTTGTGGCCGGACCGGTGTGGCCGACGACAGGTAATAAACTAGCAGAGGCCATCCCAGCCTTCCCTGTCTTTGTCGATAATCTTACAGTCGGAAAACTGTCCCAAGCGGAAGAGGGAACCAAAAAGACTACTACTACCTTAACATGCAAAAAGAAAAGAAAAATGACAGTTGGTCCGTGAAAAAAAAAAAGAAAGGCCCTAATACCTGTTTCCACGCATCCGATATCAATGAAGTGATCCTCACTGGCTGAAGCGATGAGTTGACTGTCATGCGAGAACCCTAGGGCACGTACCGGCCATTCAAGCCTAGAAGGAAATATAAGGGAGAAAGCATAGATTCCTGTACCACTGATCGTATCTTCTTCTTCTGAAGTGCTTCCTGGAACTCCTATATTCGCTTCTATCGGCAAAGCATAGATGACTGGATGTAGTTGGCTACACCCCATCAAATAAAGGGACAACCTTAGATCAACAAAATCCATGAAGTTCTAAATAGTTATCAGGCAGACAGTGTATCGCTAAGCGAACGTCCTTTACTACCGGCTGTCCTTCAGTCGCATTTGTTCGTATCACTAAAATTGCAATCAATATACTACTCGTGATAATTGAGTAGGCGTGAATGTTTACGCGGTTGCTGGCTTATTGCCTACAATTATGTAAACGACATCTCTTTCTTGAATTTGTCTTCTGTATCGATACATTTCCTAGCCAGTTTATTACCAGTAGGAAGCTCAAAAGCGTTGGCTTACCATTTCTCTAATAAAACTGGACTTAACCTCTTCCTAAAAATACAAGGGACAAGTCCAGTTAGAGTCGATCGAAAATGGAATGCTCATCCTATACGGATAGATAAACCAACTGATTTGCAGACCCCTCGTCCAATAACATAGGCCGGTTATCGTGGGTGTATGATAAGTGAAACATTAGAAGTCCTAAGAACCGTGACCCAGAAGAACTCCATCATTCGCGTGTCCAAAAAGCGCTCTGATTGGCTGCTAGAAAATAAAAATAAAAACAGAAGGCGCGACACGCACATCTCCACTCACCTAGCCAAAGTTCTTAGGCAAACGAACTCGTCAGCATCCCAAATGGAGACCAGGGCGTCCGCACTGCCAACAGCGAAGTAACTGCCGGAGGGCGAGAACTGAAGACACATAGCATTAACTGGATGTGCCTGAATACTCATCTCCCGACGCATTTCACCTGGTTTTCCGCTAGAAGGATTTGTGAAAGAGTGCATTAAGGTGGGACTAGAGAAAGGAGCAACAAAATATCAACTGAGTCTCGAAGGTATTTTTTTGTTTCCCAACGCGTTTTTAAACCGACAGCTAAGAGCTCTGGCGCCTACCTAACAAGGCGTGCGGGGTTGTGAAAAAGGACAAAATGACAGTTCCTCCGTCGAGTTTCAGGGAGATTCACAGTCGCAGACACGGTGATTCACGCGGACTTGCGCCGCAGCTACCGCCCTCTCTCCCCCTTCTACACACTTGGTCCTGTGTCACGACCAAGTGTGTGTGGGGATGACTTCTGTAGTCCATATAGTCGAGTACAGCCGATGAAGTGACTCTGTCAAAGCTGAACAACCAGTTTTGTAGACTTCCGCTGGAATACCATCCACACCCGAAGCCTTCCGACCTTTCAGTTGTTGTAATGCCGTTTCCAATTCAGTTCTCGTAGGTGGCTCACAGTCAACATTGTATGGAATTCCAGTTGATAGCTGTAGGTTTGCATGTGAACGTTTAGGCGGATCCAGTAGCTCACTGAGGCGCTCCCGCCATCGACAGATTTTGCCAGCAATATCAGTTATCGCTTGACCCAATTATCCCGAACGGTGGTGTAATGCGGTTTTTGTTTGCCAGCTGCTTTACGTAACAGAGCTGGTAGAAGTTAACAGAATGTGAAGCTGATTCCATGGAGCCAGTTAAGTCTGATGGTTCTGATGGTCGCATCTTGCTCATCGCGTAGTTTGAAGTCTCAATGAGCGGTAGTTCTTTGAGTTTAACAACCGAGCGAGTCTAGCTTGTGCCGAAAGATAGAGGGTCGTTGTGGAGATCCAGTCCTTCCTCGATACTACCTGTTGTTGCAAGCTCGAATTCATCGCACTTTGTAGCGCGTCTCTCAAGTGTGGCCACTGAGTATCGGGCGAAGTTTTATTATCGATGTTATCTGGAGATTCGATGTGAACAGTGGATTGGTCCCTAATCCGTGCAGTTGAACGCTACACGGGTTTATGTGTTTGATAGTGCCATAACGTTGACACGT